AGCCCGTCCCCGGGGCCCTGGGGAGGCAGCCGCACCGCCGCTGGGGGAGTTCATCTGCCAGCTGTGCAAGGAACAGTACGCGGACCCCCTTCGCGGCTGGGCGCAGCACCGCTGCTCCCGCATCGTTCGCGTTGAGTACCGCTGCCCCGAGTGCGATAAGGTCTTCAGCTGCCCGGCGAACCTCGCCTCCCATCGCCGCTGGCACAAGCCGCGTCCCGCAGTGGCAAACGCCACCACAGTCTCCTCGATTGACGCGAAGCTTCCTCCTTCGTCCTCCCCGGATTCCGGGGCTGTTGCTTCTTTTCTGGCGGAGGGGAAGGAGAACAGCCGGGCAGAGCAGACGGAAAATCAGCACCTGCAGGCCAGGGACAGCTCCGGGGTGGAGCCGCGCCCAGACGGCGCCCCATCCCAGGGCCTCCAGGTGTTGTCCCACCTCGAGGCACCGCTGCCTCGGGTCCCCTACACGGAAGGGGTACTGGGGCGTCGACTGCCTGGGCCGGGCAGTGCCAGTGGTGCCGGGGGACCCGAGATCTTCGTGTGCCCCTATTGCCACAAAAAGTTCCGTCGCCAAGCCTATCTGCGCAAGCATCTGGGCACTCACGAGGCGGGTTCGGCCCGCGCGCTTGCCCCCGGCTTTGGCTCCGAACGCGGGGTCCCACTGGCCTTCAGTTGCCCACTGTGCGGGGCGCACTTCCCGTCCGCAGACATCAGGGACAAGCACCGGCTGTGGCACGCTGTCCGGGAGGAGCTGCTCCTGCCAGCTTTGGCTGGGGCAGCCCCGGAAGCTCCGAGCCCAGGAGGGGCATCCGACGGGAGTGCTCAGCAGATTTTCTCGTGCAAGCACTGCCCGTCCACTTTCTTTAGCTCCCCGGGGCTGACTCGGCACATCAATAAGTGCCACCCCTCCGAGAGTCGGCAGGTGCTGCTGCTGCAGATGCCATTGCGGCCAGGCTGTTGAGGGCCCGGAGACCGGAGTTTGCGAGGTTGGCCCCTGAGGAAACAGATCATGGGAATTTCTGTAGGGCTCTCTTCAACTTGCAAGTTTACCTCATGTCCTTCCTGTATGTTCTCTCCTAAAAGTCTCAGTAGTCGATGTTCTGACATAGGAGCGGACAGCAAAATGTAAAATCCCTTTCCAGAGCAGGTTATGTATATGGATGGTTATAAACATTCGAGGCCAAGGACTGCCAGCTTTAAATCCTTCTCTTTCCCCATGAAAATAGGATCCCCCTCGCCTCCCAAACTGAAGGTCCTAATGAATCCCATATGACTTGTAATTCCTATGGAAAGTCGCAGTGAATGCGTGCATGTCTCAATGTCTACAGTCATTTTTTTTTCCTGTTGTCATCGCAGGCACCTATTTAGTTTCTGTTTCAATAGGGTCAGATATCTTGCATTGTATATTCTGTGAATTAAAAGTTGTGACTGGTGCCAAACTTTTGGGGTGGGGGGAGATTCAAGACCTGTGTCTGTAGGTAGGAAATAGGAGGATATTTTTTGCTTTGGGGGATGTGGGCGTCTCCCTGTAAGCTTTCCTTTTCTCAGTATTAGTCTACTTTTAAGTTAGTGTTTGGAGGTGGGGAGTGAGCTACTTGACAGGAAGCAGCTGACATATCCCCAAGATTCTCACCTTTAGCTATTTTGTGTGTAGTAGGCAGGAGGAGATACTTTAAACCGGAAAAAAAAATAGCTTTTTGGGAATATAGAACTCATTTCCTGAAGTTGAACTGTTTTAGTAGGGTTTCATCCGAATTGTTTGATACTTCCGTTGTAAATCTTGTACTGTGTATTATAAATTAAACTATGTTCAGTTTAAGGAAGATGTTAATACCTATAATCCACAACGGAGCTGAATGGCAAGTCATTCAATATCTAGTATTTTCTTTTTTATGTAAACCATAACCGGTGCACATTCTGTACCCATGTCCTAAGAGCCAGAGTGTAGGACACTAGCTGAGTATCGCTTGACAGACCGCCTGTGTTTATAAGATGCTCACCACCAAATAAATGTCCATAGCTGGTGCTTTGTCGTGTTCTGTGTTTGTCTTAAGAATTCCATTAAACACAGCCTATTTTTCAAAGCTACATCTCCCCAAAGCCAGTATCCTACTTTATAATTTTAGTGACCCACTTAGATTACAGCCAGGAGAAATTATATTTTGTAAATGAATGTGATGGTGAGGAAATGCAATGGAAAAATTTCCTTTAAAGTATGGCTGTGCAGATAGAGCTCCAAAAGGCAAAGAATATGCACTATTCTTTCAAGACACTTCACCACCCCAAAATATCAACAGAAAAATATTAAAAAATTTAAAAAAATCTAGTGGTTATCTTAAGATGAAAACAATCATGTTAATTGTGCTAATTAACTGCTATTTCAAGTTGGCATTTTCACTCCATTTTGTTACCTATCATGAAACCATTAGCTGTTCATTAAAGAAATTTTGAAAGCACTGTAGAAATGTGTAAGCTGTTACTTTGATTTTTCCTCTTTGTAATTCTTTACCTAGGTTGTGGGAAACTGTATTGTTTAATCTTGTTCCAAGGGACATGTTTATTGTCTTTTGTAGGAATTTTAGTTTATTTTCTACATTGTTTCATAGGAATTTTTTATTTATAAAAAAATAAAAAAAGTACACAGGTTTTAGAAACTATAAAAGTTTTGTTCCTGAATGTATACTATAAGCCAAGTAAATTTAAGAAATCAAAGAAACATGAGGCTGAGATAAAATGATGCTTTAACCAAGTGCACTGGGTGATGTTTCTAGCCAGCCCTTATGAAGGCATAAAATTTCCTGCATTTTTAATGATTGTGGTAGGATTCCTGTGAAATAAGTTAGGGGTGTATCCTGAAAATTCAAGCCCATTTTTCATGATAATCTAGATTTATGCTTCACATCTCTCCATTAATTATATAGCCCTGATTATTAAATCTGAAAATACATAAAAGACAAAAACACTAATTGACATAAGTGATAATATTTTTATTGTATTACTAAATACTATATATTTTTTCCACTGTTACAAATTTGTAGATACTACATGAAAGATGATACATAATTTATATTTTATAGTTTGCTGTATGATGTATTTACACATGCAGTTAGTACCGATGCCATGCTACATTTCCTTAGGAGATGCCAGTTTAAAACAAAATATGAGCAAAATGTGAGCAGCTTATCTACTGTAGGAAAATACCTCTGGAGAGTGGAATGTATACCAACTGCACCTGCAAGTTCAGTATTAACAATATTAGATTTAATTTGGACTCCTGGGTCATGTTCCTTTTTTAAAAAAAAAATACACATAATTTAATTAACACATTTATATCAGAAAAGTTTTTTCCTTCTTTTCTTTTTTCCTCCCAAGTCCTCCCTTTATGGTATTTAAGAAAGAACATAGGTACACCAGGATCCACCAGCCAATAATAAAGGGCCACAATCTCAAAAAAAAAAAAAAAAAAAAAGAGGCATTTAACAGTGATACCATTTAAAAAGCAAAACATTAGAAAGATATTGAAGCTAAACTTAAATCAAAGTTAGCACAGTGATTTTTCTGGTTACTAGATATGCCACGGCGTCACCACACAGCCAAGAAACGAGGCATTGCTTTGGGAAGAAAAAGTTAATGCTAAAATTATTTCAGTTAGAATTTGTGATGCTAAAAGACCATTTATTTTAATGTTTTATTTTCATAACATAAATAATCCATACACATCTTGTGTATTAACAGATTTGCAACTTTTGCTATAACTTTACAAATGCTTAAATTTAAAAATTTACATTTGTAAAAAAATTATATATTTACTGAGCCCATAAAGTTGCAATGGGGCATGATAAATAAAATAACGAGAACCATTCTATTTTGGTTCAAAGGTAATCATGAAATTAAAAGTAAAACTTCTTAGACATAATTATCTAGAAAGGTGAAGGGATATTGAATGCCCCTCTCCCCCAAGGCAGTTTGGAGTGTGGGGGGGAAAACCAAGTGAATAAACAACTCAAATCTAAAATATTAAGTTACAAATTATTTAAATCCAGTGTTCTTTTTACAATAAATGTTCAGGAAGGAACATGCATGCTATGGCAAACAAAAGAGCCCGAAAGGGTTAACACTATGTTCATGCTAAGGTGGCTACTGCTGATCTCTGCTTGGGCTGCTCGTCTCCTTAGGATTTATTGGCTGAGCCAGAGGATCGACGCAGCTTCATGGACATACGGCTTTTGCTAGTTCGAGGAGACATTGGAGAGGCCAGGTCGGCCCCATCTACCTGCGTTGCTGTGGGAGTTTCACTGGGTAGAACCTCTGGGTAGGAGCCTGTGGGAAAAAGCAAGAGCATTAGTACAGGTCAGGGTATCCAGCCTCTAATCCCATATAAAACAACCTGTCGCTACTAATCTGTAGCAATGGATCCCAACCTTGAATGAGGTCTTTTGAGAGGAAAGAACAAGCCCCAAACTTGCTTGTTATAAGTTAACTAATATTTTATTTAAAACCCAATGATCTGGTGGCTCATGCCATCATATTAGCAAGAAAGCGCCAATCCTTATTTCCAGAGCCAGAATCAAGCAGAGAGCTCCCCAGAAAAAGCAGTGGGAAGCAAAATCTTTGGGCCAGAAAGGACAGGGATCCAAAGCACTATTAGCATGCAGGACGGGCTTAAGAAGCAGGTAAGAAGGACCAATTCCCATCTCTAGGGCATAGGGTATAACCAAGAAAAGGGCCTCCACTGCCTAAACTTGAAAATAACAAAGCAATCAGTTTCAAAAGGAATTCAGCACGATGAGACCACTATACATCTAGGTATTAAAATATGCTTTCAAGAAGGAGGAAGAGGACAAGAATTCGCATTTGAAAGTCAGTTAAAAAGATAAACTAACCCCCCAAAATGTCTCAATTTAGAAGAGATAAACAATACTTTCTTTTGCTTAACTTAAACTTCTGCAATTATATTATCCAGTCCTAGGAAATAGGCAACCAGTAGAATTAGAAGATATAAAAATTTAAAAGCAAAGTTAAGTTCAAATTAGAAAATTATTTGTGTCATTTATAAAGTAGTTCTTCACCTCTGTACTTTATTTCCATGAATTGATTCTTTAATATACAGCAACTCTACAGAACTTTGCACATTATAGGCTCTCAAATATTTTCTGAATAAATAAGAAATTATATTAAAAATAAAAGCCCTTGCCTGGCCGGTGTGGCTCAGTGGTTGAGCGTCGACCTATGAACCAGGATTGATACCCAGTGTGGGGAGTGCAGGAGGCAGCCGATCAGTGGTTCTCTCTCATCACTGATGTTTCTGTCTCTCTCTCCCTCTCTGAAATCAATAAAAATATATTGAAAAATAAAAAATAAAAATAAAAGCCCTTCAAAAAAAAAACAAAGGAAATCAGCAAACATAACAGAATAACAAAGTTTAAAAAATTCTGTATATTTCAAAGCACTTTAATCCAGATTTTCTGGGCTCTGTGTACATGGAAATTTTCTTTATATGTGTCACAAACAGACAGACACACACCATATAGGTTGCAGGCTTAAATTTACACATCTCTTTACTCTGTAGGGAAAGCTTTGGCATATTTGTTAGCCAAAGTAGCACCTCACTGACACTTTAAGCTTGGATATAATCATACTAGAACTTCCATATAATAAAACATTTGTGCCTAAATTGAAATTATGAGTATTTATAAGAAAACACAAGACCATTCAATAGGGATACCAGTCCTACTGAGATGTATCCCTGTTATTAAGAATGTGTCTTGGTAGGACACTTCAAAATGTTTTAAAGGCCAAATGTTCTCATTATACTTATGAGCAAACATACATTGTCAAAGAAAAATATTTTATTACTCATAATTCAGGTCAACTGCCCTGCTTTTCAAAGCAACTTCTTCAACATTATTTTTTTTTTCTAACTGAAATGAGGTTGGCCTTCAAAATACAAGGAAAAGGAATATATATATTTCTGTTCACCTTTACTCATCCTGAAGATCTCAATTGGTTGATCCTGGACCCCTAGTGGAAAACCTCAAGGAGAATATGAACCCATGGCCCTTTTTAGGAAAGCACTGCAGATGGACGGCAGAAGGAAGGTGAAGAGCAGTGGCTCATGCTTTTCTGGTAATGCATATTATTCCCGCCAATCATGACAGGCTTTCCCATGGCTATTTACCTTGAGATGGCCAATGTTTTCTAGCGGAGGTTTTGGGAGGAAGAGAACTATCACTGCATTTCTTTCTTTGTTGTAAATGAAGAAATGGAGTAGCGAGCAGAAGTGAGAAAACAAAAGAGAAGATAGATAACAGATATGAGAGACACTGCAGAATTTTACAGGTGTTAACCAAGGAGCAGAGAAGAGAGTAATCAGGTTTTTAATATGAAATACAATTGGTCATGCAATGTGTTAGAGTGATGATGTATCACAATGAATGCTTTGTAATTTCAAATGTTATACTTACCAACTAACACAACAAGTTCAAATAGGAAAAAAGAAAAGAAAAAAATTGTCTATGAGAGATGCTATAAACATCTATCTTTCAAAGTGTTCACTGTACTGGGGGTATGTTATCCTGATCACTCAGTCATAGAATCTTTAGAGCTATACTTACTGCCCCACATGTTAGCCATAGCTGCCACATAAATTAAGTTAAAATTAAATATAAAAAATTGGCTTCTCAGTACACTGAGTGCACTTGCCACATTTTAAGTGTTCAGCAGCCACATGTGGTTAGTGGCAAGCATACTGGACAGTGCATTCAGAATATTTTCATCATCATAGAAAGTTTTATTGGAGAACATTGCTTTAGAGCAGCGGTTCTCAACCTGTGGGTCGTGACCCCTTTGGCGGTCAAACGACCCTTTCACAGGGGTCGCCTAAGACCATCCTGCATATCAGATATTTACATTACGATTCATAACAGTAGCAACATTACAGTTATGAAGTAGCAACGAAAATAACTTTATGGTTGGGTCACAACATGAGGAACTGTATTTAAAGGGCCAGAAGGTTGAGAACCACTGCTTTAGAGTATGCCAAATTCAAAGAATGCTTTACTCAAAAACAGGAATTCCCATGTCTCCCTTACAGCCTGCAGCGCGAAATCCCCCCTTTAGTAAACTGAGTCAAATCAGGCTTCTTAGTGTGTGTAGAATATAGCTACGAGTACCTCTTCACATTTTAGCAAACAATTATGGTATATACTCAGCATTCCCAAACTCTATAAATAATTTAGAGTAGACAGATCTCAACTTTATTTATTTATATTAAAAACATTTTTATTTATTGATTGATGAGAGAGAGAGAGAGAGAGAGAGAGAGAGAGAGAGAGAGAGAGAAACCAATTGGTTGTTCCACTTACTTATGCATTCATTGGTTGAATTTTGTATATTCCCTAACCAGGGAACGAACCTGCAACTGGCATTTTGGCACGATGTTTTAATCAACTGAGCTCCCTAGCCAGGGCTAGATTTCAATTTTAGGTGTAAAGAATACAGTGATACCTACACTTCATTTCACATTCTATTCTGCCTGAGTACTGATTTATATCACCTGAGTTATAAAGAATGTTAATTTATTTCTATTATTAATATATCCTCAAGTATAAAGTTTACAAAGTATCTATGGACTCCTATATTTATGCATACTGCATCTGTTACTAACACTGGTACAGTACTCACACAGACTGTGTCTGTATCTTAAAGGTATAATAAATTGACTCATATATTGTGCACAGATTACAATAAACTATTATTACAAATACATGTAACATGATGAATATGACTGTGGGGATCTATACAGATTATATATGGGAACTTAATGAATAATTTATCGTGGCTGACAGGCATGACCAGTTTAAACTGCTAAAGTTATAGGGTAGATATAGGCTTTCAAAATATTGTGACTTTGAAAGCAATTCCAATTAATACTAAACTAAGAGGCAATGTGATCTGTTAGAAAGCATGGGCATGGGTTAGACAGGTATCATTAAATGCCAAATTTGTCATGTTATTAGCTTTGGATCTTGGGCTAACTGACACCAGACAGTTTTTTTATTTGTAAAATGGAGACAACACTAGTTATTTTGCAAAGTTGTGAGGGATAAATGACGACATATGCAAAGATCCTGGCACAGAGCAGGTACCCAATAAGTGTAGCCCTATAAGATTACTAAACACATACGAGTGACAATTAACATTCTTTGAATCAGAATAGATGAGGATTAGAAAAGAAGAAATAGAAATTAGAAATATTTTTGAAGAAAATGACCACTTATAAAATATAATTGTTGAAATGTGGAGAACACAGCATACCAAAAAGTTTAGTTTTGGGGAAATTAATTTATCTACTCTTATGCTAATATTCCTATAATATATAAGCTTATATTAAAGGATGCAGATTACCTAAATAATCTTACTGCTTTAATATTGTTACAGGAGGTGATAAGTGATTAAGATTAGCATGGATTCACCACTGAATGTCATAAAGTAAATAACACATTTAAAATAAAATGGCACAGAAATATAGGCAAAGTGGTTTCATTTTAAGATATTCAAGAATTACCATTATTGCAACTTAGAACATATCTAAGCTTGTCATATTTTATCTCCTTACAAATGGGAAAACTGGGTTTAAGATACATTAATTTATTTGAGATCATGCAGATAATAAACAGCAGAACTAGGATTTAACCCAGATCAGTCTGATTCCAAAGCCCATACTTCTCCATGGCAACCTTAAAACTATTTTTAAAAAAAAGAAGAAAGAAGATTTTTCAATGAGTGGTAAAGTAGAGCCTTAAAAATAAAAATCTTTTATAATTTCTAATTCGTAAATATGACACGTGATTGGGCATTTTCTCTCTTTCCTCTCTCTTTCAACAGCAAGAAGGGGTTGAAAATATTTATATAAAATGGGTAATTATAATAGTTGAGATCATGGATTCTGAAGTCAGAGTCTGGCTTTAACAAGTACCAGCTGACTCTGGATAAGCAATTTTTTATTTGGTAAGCATATTTTTTAAAAAAACACCTCATAGACTTGCCATAAAGATTAAATGAGAGAATGCATGTATAGTACTTAACACAGTGATTATTCAATTATTTTACTATTATCATTACAAAAATTTTACTCTGAATGAATGTTTTATATGGAAATTGAACATAGTAATTATTGTCACAAAAGGTTAATAGGCTCTAACCGGTTTGGCTCAGTGGATAGAGCGTCGGCCTGCGGACTCAAGGGTCCCAGGTTCAATTCCGGTCAAGGGCATGTACCTTGGTTGCGGGCACATCCCCAGTAGGGAGTGTGCAGGAGGCAGCTGAATTGATGTTTCTCTCTCATCGATGTTTCTAACTCTCTATCCCTCTCCCTTCTTCTCTGTAAAAAATCAATAAAATATATTAAAAAACAAAACAAAACAAAACAAAAGCAAAAGGCTAATGGTTAATAATTTTAGGCTAACCTAGTGATATGATTAGGAATCTGTTTTTAAAAACATAGTAAACAAATTTATAGCTTATGCTATATGTTGAAGGAAACTGATTTTCCTGTTGGCATTTACAAATATTATTTTAAAGATTATATATATAAATATATAAATATATATATAAAATCTTCTGAGTTCCTAAAATATATTCTTTCAGGTTACTTCAGAGCCTGGAAAGTAAAGTGCAAAATGACTTTTAAAGGACACTGAGCTTAAATGGTTACCTAAAGCAATGGCTAAATTTTGATGATTTATCCAAAGGTTCAAAGAGATGGATCTGATCATCATAACGCTATCCCATCTACATGTGGCAATACAGATTTTGTGAAATAATAGTAAAATAGATTAGAATGAAAGATGATTTGACACTACCCTAGGTTTTCATAATCATTCTTATCTAGATTAACTCTTACTTTGATGGCATACATAGAAATATTTGAATCTTATTACTAATTTTTATAATATTTATTTAAATAGCAGCCTAACTCAGTTCGATTCCACCAGGGCACATGCCCCCATTGAAGGCTTGATCCCCAGTGTGGGGCATGCAGGAGGCAGGAGGCAGCCGATCAATGATTCTCTCTCATCATTGATGTCTCTACCTCTCTCTCCCTCTCCCTTCTTCTCTGAAATCAATAAAAACATATTAAAAAAATAGCAGCCTATACGTTTTCTAAAGGTTATTATACAGTTGTATGTAGGTATTGGTATGTATATTTATGTGTGTATATGAATATGTGTATATGTGCATATATAGTCAAACACCGATCAATCCTTTAATTTTTAAAGTACTAACATTTCTACACTTAATTTGCAGAAAAACAATAAATCCAAGTGGAGTTATATACTAGTTCAATACTACACAATAAACATTAAACATATTTATGGCCGGTGATACTAAAAAGACAACACTGGAAAAAAATGAGTGTTATTTTTAATGTTGAAATTAAGACAATATTTATTGCACTTTTCCAGCAAAAAAAATCCTGTTTTTTGTTGGCATTCCATAATTTCTTTTATTAAAATAAGACTTGATTTGAAAAGACAATGTGCTATTAGGGAAAAATATCTAGATTTTGAACTACCAATGTAATTTGGTCAAGAAGAGGAGTAATTTCATTGCAGAGTCAGAGGAGAGGTGTTCATGAATATAAAAAAAGTTAAAAAAGAAGGTCACTGTAAAACTTTTGATATTTTCCACACGCATGCCTGACAAAGATAAAGGGATTTTTCCTGTAATTTTTTTAAAAATAAGGGACAAGAACAATCTAATAATGTTTTAATGTAGTTATCATGATGTCACACTTTGTTGATCTCCCATATCTCCCCTCAATGACCTTAGGGATAAAAATAATTTCCCGTAAGTATTAGTCTACTGCCACAGAGTCCATTTTGAGAAAACACAGTTATGAAATTTATGGAGCAACTATGATATATCAAAAATGCTCTTCATATCTATTTAAATAACACTAAAAATTATTTTTTTAAATCTTTATTTTTGTATTTTAATGTCATCACAGTTGGTACATTACTGTTAAATAGAAAGTAGGTTTTAGGTCATCTTAAATCAACTTGTCAACTTAAAAAATAGTATTTTTTACATTATTCCACCAAATAAAATTATGTTATAGGATTGGTTAGAAAGATGATATTCTTTATATGATCATCATATTGGCATTACTTTAAACTTAATTTCAAATTATTGCGTTTGTATTGATGAGTATTATTTTATATACATGAAGTATGCATAGAATATTTAAAGCTAATTTTCACTTGCAATTATGAATGCATTTTCTCAATATGGCAAATTTTATGTAAAAAAGTAAAAATGAACCAAAAAACTTCCATACTGCTATTATGTAGTTTATTTCATGTCTTCTCTCCCCTGCTTTGACTTACACTTTTAAAGAGAATTTCTATATGTATGGGGTGGTTTAGGACAGAAACATTTGAGGTGACTGGAAAAAAAATAAAACAATCATTCATCAGGTAACACAATGCTTTTGTTACTACAGAAGTAAATATTTAATTTTTATATTGTGTTGAACTGAGAACCACTCTGCTAAAAATTTCTATCTTTAATAACTACGCAGTCTGCAAAAAATATATAAAAAGGTATTTGGTAATACTGGACCAAGTTATTTACAGGCAAAAACAACCTCTTACAGTGTTTGTTTCTAATGGTTCCTAAAGGTAAAGACAATTTAAAAAAATTAATTGAACGTTCTACAGCATGCTGTATAACGATTGAGCTGTTTTGCACTGAATAAAGTTTTCTTCTTCACTGCACCCCCAAAAAATATTTAACTGAAAGAATTTTTAGCATGGCATTAGGTTTACGTTAAAATTCACATCTGCATTACTATTTAGATAACTGTCAGTTTTATGTTAAACAAATTGTAAATAAAACACTGTAAAACATTAAAAAAATGAAGCCAAAAGAGCCTTGACTTGGTTACTGTATCATCCTTTACTTAATGCCTCAGAAAGTGAGAATACTATTTACTTCCCATATTATATATATGTATCTGGCAAAATATGCAGGATAATATGCAAAATAGAAAGGAACATGAAGAAGAGGAATGTGAAGGACTCCAGTTGGTAAACAACTAGAACATTAAAATCGACACTCTATCTACATTTAACGGGAAAACTTAGTCTGAGTGTGGTCTCATTATCAATATTTTTCAGTTGTGAAATATATAGCTTGACTATATGATTTACAAAAGTATTATTCATATCTATTTTAATAACCTAGTCTATTTATCAGATATTCTCTATTATTAAAAAGGACATTTTCAGGTAAGAACTTAACTAGTTTTTATTTTGTTGTTCATTAATTTACTCTTAATATCTTTCTTTTGCCATCTTTTTTATGCTAAACTGAATAATTTTAGATAGTATCATTCCATTGAAGTGAATCTTAAATTTTTTAATCTTTCTTTCAAAAGATTCAACCTAGTCATCATTGCTAATAAGTCTTTTATATTAATCAAAAGAGCTCTAAGATTTTAGGTATAATTATTTTTATAATGCCCAGTTAAATGGTCACAAAAATGGAAGCTTTAATTTCATCAACTAAATCTCAATTGAGAATTACAGTAATTTTTTTTCCAAATAAATTAGGCAAGAAAAATAGTACTGTACCTTTTAAACTTATTTAATATAAAAAAAACTTACAAAAGAGAATTTAAAGAGTTACTATAATAAACCTCAAGCATATTGTATTATCTTTTCCTGCTTCCTTTGAACACCATTAAAATAGTCATCTTTATATTTCAGGTGCCTAGTACAGTGCAAGGCACACAACAGAACAACTATTTGGTGAGTTAAGATACTCAATAAAAATGCAACACATTATAAAATACAAAGACATACCATTTCAGTTCAGTAGTACTACTTTTTCATGCTGATAAACAAAGAAGGTCAATATAAGAAGATGTAACTAATTTCAACCAAGGGGTTTATTATTAGTTATTTTTTATACCAGAACCAGTGTTAGTGTTTCATGCAGACTTGGGTTAGTAAGTATAATTCTGGAAAAAATTTAGTGACCATTTCTGAAATGTTTAGTATGAACCAGGGCAGTGTTAAGTTTGCTTATTGTTTGAGTTACAAGCTTAGTGCTTGCTAATTTAAAAAAAAAAAAAAGGAAATAGGGGAAGAACAAAGAATGTTTTGGTTGACACTTTGTCTTACCTTCAGATAAACAGAACTGATATTTAATGATCTAAAGAGGGAAATAAAATAAATGAAACAATCATAAGGAGTACAAAGTATTACAGAATAGGAAGGCCATGAGTCATTTATTTTTTACTGATTTCTTCAAAATTAGTTAATAGTAAAAATGCAGTACCCTTTTATAATCTTTAAATATTGTAAAATAATTAACTATTTTAAGTACTTTTAAATCTAGACCATTCAACTTTATTTGTAAAATCAGAGATAAGACAATATTCTTGGCCATGAAATTTGATGCTCTAAAGTTGACAGTACATGCTCAACTTATGTTTCTTTTGCAGATACCTCCTATAGTAATGATTCTGTGAAACACAATAGTCACCGTCCGTTAGCTCAGATAAAATGTGGTGTATGCACTTCTATGAAGACTTTCAAAGGAATTCCATGTAGGTAAAAGAAAATATGAATCAAATTTATAGGCCAGATTCAAATATTAAATGATGATGAAAAATATATTTCAATGTTGGAACTAGAATTTTATTCAGGCATGTTTTCTATTATTTTAAGAGTTTTTAGAACAAAAGGGCATTGCATTTCAAGTTCAAATAATGACAAGTAATGAATACTTGCTTTTAACCTTACCAGCATCCGGTGGTAAGTGATGGTAGGGAGCTGGAGAAAAAACCTGCGCCGCGAAATCTTCAAACGTCGTTGGTTCTAAATGGTGCTGGACAATTGTTTGCAGGTACCGTGCTCTCTCCTCATAGCTGATTTCCTTCAGTTAAGGATGAAGTTAATGCAGCTTATATTGAAAAAGAATAGGCTCATCAAAAGGGACTATTGTGATTGCTAAGCCATCAGTTCTTGATAAATATAATGATTCATTAACCTTGCATATATCAAAAGTATGGCTTTTTAAAGAGTAAAAAATATGGTTTTTAACATGTTTACATTTCTGGATATCACTATAAATGGCAGCTTAACAGGGAGACATTTATTAGAAAGTAATTACAATACTGAACTGTTGGAAGAAAGAAAGTTAAGTTTACTTGAGAAAGGATTCAACTGCTATCAGGTCAGCCTCTTTTTAGTCAGCGTCAGATCTGCAGATTTACTCTGAGAAGCCACACAATAAATACGATAATGCTGTTTAAAATACTATGTCTGAAATTCTATGTTTTTCATTTGTAAAGATTTATTGTGAAAAATTCCTGCATATCTTCCTTTTTTTTCTAAAATCTCTGCATTTTCCCAACAATTGTCCTCATTTTGAATGGAAGACTACTGTTGCTATAATCCTCGAATAACTCCATGCGGTTAAGATAAATACATAGTTGAATCTGTATGTCAGGAAAAACCCCCAGTCAATTATAACACTGAAACAAGCAGGAATATTTGCAAAGAGACCACAGGACTCCTAAATACTGTCTAACAAAGCATCTACAGGGCACTGACACTGACAGAAAAACACTGTACTTCCCTTTCACCACATTTTCTTCTCTGATATTATTGACAAGCAACCAGTACCTTGAAGTGTTGTTGCTTTTGAACAACCCACTCCAGGCTTCCTGTTTCAGCAGGCCTGATTGTGCTGTTAGCACAGAGAGGGCGAGAAAGAGAGAGAATATTTCTGTTGTTCACGAAAGCAACTATGGAAATGGCTGTCAAAATGTAGAGCAGCAGGCAGCAACATACAATTATCAGGAAAAGCTCACATGCTGACTTCATGTCGTATAGTTCCTGAACTGAGAAATCAGTTAACCTTTCTTCTACAACTTTTAAAAGTTTTCCTGCTGTACTCAATATGCTCTGTTGATAGGCTTTACATAAGACGTTTAAGTAAGTATAAAGAAAAATAAAAAATCTGCCTATTGGTTGTTGTTTTTTTCACTCTGATTTTCTGAAACTCATTTAACTATTTTCTCCCCAAAATTCCTTATTCTTTTGAAAAGAAAATTACAATTCAATTACTGTAGTTCTATAATTCTAGCAATTGTATCCCAAGTCTACAATCAAGATCAAGAAGAATAGTTGTGAAAGATAATTTAAAATTCTAATTCAATGGGAGCTACCATAGTCAGTTATATTTATAAAAGTTATTAAGAAGAGGGGAAAAAAAGCATAAGAGTAAAGGGAAGCCTATTATCAATAGGTACTTGACTGATACTGTGATATCCTTTGCCCTCTAAATGGCTTGAGTACTTTCTCCTTGTATTAAAATTTATTTTATGCACTGAAATAATCTAAATTCCAATTCCTTGCCATCCATTATTTTCAATTCTGCACACTGAGGTTGAACTTCAAAAGAATTTTACTTCTGAAATGAGTAGCAACAGGACAAGATTATTAAAATGATCAATGGTAAGAATTTTAAGGAAGGATCATATAGACATTTTTGAGTGTTAACATAGAAAAGAAATATAGCACACTTTAAAAAGAAGGTATATGGTTATAAATGGAAAAGGATGAAACTGATGGTTCAATCTAAATAATACCACATATCTCACAACTTGTTGGAAAGTACTTTTTTTCATTGGGGGAGATTCACAGCTGCTGAATTTTCTGCAGTTAATAGAGTCCTTTGATTCACAGCAGTGCCCCTTGTACAAAAAATACTGGCCTTTGTGTATTACCAGAAACTAATTTTCTATTTGGCTGAAAAGGGAAAAATGGGGTTATTGCTTCTCCCTCCTACAGAGCTTTTCATTATGCCTGATGCACTCAACTTCTAAGCTCTTCTGAGAAAAAAAATAACTGAAGAGGCAAGAGGTAGAAAAATGAGCTTGTTAGCACATTAGAAGTGAAGTATCTTGGTGGGCCCTAGAAATTCCCAGTGGTGTGTTAACTTATCGCTCTATGCACGCTGGCACTGACAGTCTCCCAATTGATCACTCTCTTCTCGCACCAAAGGTGCTGCCAGGAAGCAAAGGCTGCAGGCCCACAGGAGAGCAGTTTGCTATCAAAACAAGCTGTGTTTAAAAGTCTGCCTGAATGGGTAAAACGCTTCATGGAAAGTAGGGTGGAGGCACCTACCTGCTTTTAAAATGCTCTACTTTCAGAGGGCTTATAAACGAAATATTTCACTTTATCTTATTATATTTAGAGTTTACACAAAAATTAAGCAGAAAGAAAGCAAATGTTAATATTTCTAAAGCAGAAGGGTATTTCCAATGTAGTAAAATTTATAAAAGCAAGACATGACTATCTAGGTAAAATATATTTTGGAGTATAATTCTGCTTCACTATACAAAAAAAAAGGAGATATAAAACTATACAAGCTAAAATGATCCAGATATAATATATTCATTTATATAAAAACACAGGATGTATTTAATAAAATTACAAAACATCTTCGTTAGTGAAAATGATGCTTTCTAAAACGATTTTTAAAGAGTGAAACAATCAACCCTAGCTGGTTTGGCTCAGTGAATAGAGAGTCGGCCTGAGGACCAAAGAGTCCTGAGTTCGACACATTGGTTACAGGCTCTTCCCCGACCTGGGCCCTGGTCAGGGCTCATGCAGGAGGCCACCAATCAATGTGTTTCTCTCACATCAATATTTCTCTCTGTCTTTCCCTCTCTTTTCCACTCTCTCTAAAAATCAATGGAAAAATATCCTTGTGTGAGGATTAAAAAAAAAAAGTGAAACAATCATTAATGATTGAATTTAAATTAGGCAGGCTAATGTCTGGAGTTTTCTTTTTGAGGGATTATCTTCAGAAAACACTGCTAGCTTAGTAAATAATTAGGGTTTACCTACAGTAACTCATCTTCTAAACATTTTTTATAATTTTCAAAGTTTGATGTGGCCAAATAAATAAAACCAACCAACCCATTCTATAGTATTTAAATATTTTCCTCTCTTTACTTCAGAAAACATATAATATTCAGGAGATTTAACAAACCCTGAGTACTTAAACACAGTCCTAAGTCCACAAACAAGGTGCTTTTTGTGATTGCGATAAGATAAGGTTCCAAACAGTGCTGTTAGCATCTGCATTGGTAATCATAATCCAAAGTGGTTAATTCCTATTTCTCATATAATAGGTTAGACAAAGTTAGACATGTATTCCTTAAAAGGCAGCTCTCTAGGAAAGAGTTATCAGTATCTATAAATTAAGTGGCATACACAAACTTGAGGGCTAGCAATAACAGGATAGCTCAAGCTATATTCCTTCTGTGAGTGTGTGTTGCCATTGACATTGAAATTAAAAAACTGAAATGGGTGAGATGATAAAAAGGTAATGGTAAACTAACAAATTCAGAGCAAAATTTAAAGTATAAGTCTAAACTGAATTAAGAAGGTTTTTATTGTAAATTTAAAACCACCCAAGCCAAACTAGCTAATAAAAAGCTATTTGATGAGGGAGACTTTTAGCTGGTAGGAATCTTTAATACAAAACTAGCCAATCAAAAAAAATAACACACAGGTGCTGCAATCACAGCAATACAATTATCCACTAATCCTTCCTTCTACTTTCTGCAAAAGCAGAAAAGGGGGGAGGAATATTGCTATTCTAAAAATAATAAAAAGAGCCAACCAAACATTTTCTATAGTACAAATAATTTAAACCTAATCTGTACTTCATAACATTAAGTTAACATTATTACTCATTTTAAGTAACTCCTATTGATTTTAAACTTATGTATGAAATTATTTGTGGTCCCCTGTAACTGTGTTGAGACCAGCTGTCAAGAAAATGGGGTTCAATTTCAGCCCAGTCCTGGAAAGAGGTGCATGAATCCTCTGTGCCACAGTTTACTTGTATGTTAAATGGGGATACCACCACCTGCTCTTATGTCACAGGGATGTCAAAGATAAAGAATATAAATACAGGGTAACCCAAAAGTCCTATGACATCTGTGCTAAAAATAGTTTATTTTGACCTTTGGGTCAAGCCTTTATAAATAGCAGGCGCTGTCTCCAGGAGGGCAATTGTCAATGCCAGTTTAAGAAACATCTGTACTGATATGCAAGAACTCTTTGCTAATTATTTCTTGTTTGTAGTATATATAGAGGGACTTATGTGGATGAGATGAAACTGATTTCTCATGAAAAAGACAATATGAAAAGGTATAATAAAAGGTTAAGTAGCACCACAATTTTCAAATTTTACTAATGTATATAAAAAATAAAAGGTAGATCTGGTTATAAAAAAGCAACAAACTTTCATGCTCCACAATACATTTCTTAATAATATAATGTAAGTCCTAGCTGGTTTGGCGAAGTGGATAGAGAGTCGGCCTGCGAACCAGAAGGTCCAGGATTCAATTCCGGTCAAGAGTACATGCATGGGTTGCGGGCCCGATCCCCAGCAGGGGGTGTGCAGGAGGCAGCCGATCAATGATTCTCTCTCATCATTGATATTTCTATCTAACTCTCCCTCTCCCTTCCTCTCTGAAGTCAATAACAATATTTAAAAAAAACAATGTAATTTTGAACTGCTTTTACTGTCAGAAAAGGCAAAACTTTCAGTTTTGTGATCACTACTTCCATGGCATGCCCATTAGGTTGTTCAAACATTTAGCTCCCAAGACCACATCAAAATTACAACTAAATTATAGAACAACCATAAATGAGAACCACCTAGCTAATTATAAGTCCAAAAACCAAGAATTATAAAGAGGAAGCCAGGATGACACTAGAGGGGTAGAGACAAATAAAGGGCAGGTCCCATACGATTAAGAAGCAGAATGCCTATCTTGGATGCAGAGGTTCCACCTCAGAAGTGAAGGGTCCCAGCCCTAGACCTGGCTCCCCAGCCCAG